CTGCAACACTTCCCTCTTTGATGGTGTGAATGATGGAGGTCGGGTGGGATCTGGTGGCTGCCATGGTGGATGGTGAGGGCGGACTGGCAGAGGATGGCCCAGGGGGCATCCGTCCTCGTGGCCGCATGGGGCGGCACGCCTGGGGGTCGCGGCGGAGGACATAGGCGGGGCCGCGGGGGAGGAGAGGACGTGGGCAGGATGAGGCCCACGCGCCCGCCGGCGTCCGCAACGAAATCCTCGACGCCCGCGGCCACGACTTCCTCGCCGTCTTCCAAGCCGCCTGCTCGCGCGTGGGAGGAGGTCCGTCTCGGGCTCCTCTCCCGAGTTCCACCGCCATGGAGGAGGAGAGGTCCCATCATGCGGCGGCCGTCGCGCTTCGCTTGGTCCAGTCCTCTGCTGCCGCTCTCGGCCTTTACGTCATTTGGCGGCGTCCCCTCCGGAGACGCAGCGATGGTGCGGCCGAAAAGCGACGCGGTGATGCCGAGGAGCTCGGAGCCGTACCAGCGAGACGGCGACGTGCATGGGTTCTCGAGGTGGCGCGCCCACGGCGGCGATCGCGATTTGATGGGCGGCGAGAGCTGCTGAAAAAAAAAAAAAAGATGGAAAGGGTGCCGCCAATTTGGGAGTGCATTGATTTTGCATGCAACAAATTTGGGAGGGCGCTGATTTGGTTTTATGTCGTTGCTTTGTGATCAGACATGGCGAAGCCCGCAGGCGGGTAGTCTTGTTGAAGCTGAAGCCGCTTAATCAAAACAACTTTGGCCATGGGATGATGGCAAAGCTCCGTAAAAATAGATCTGACCCATTTATTTCTATACGATGGGATGTTTTGGGTGCATGAACTGGGGTAGATGTAGGAAAATTCATCTCTGTGGGGGCAAATTCCTGAGTGGACTAAGCGTATTTTGGATTAGTCTCTTATAGTAGAGATGTGTTATCGAATTTTATTGTTTGCCTTTGCCCACTTTTACTCACCAGCAAATTCATGCGTAATTTGTCGTTTGTGCAAGATTTGAGTTACCTTCAGCTATAATTGTGTGTCACTCTAATGTATTTGAAATGAATGGGGTCCTGTGTCAGTTTCTAAGCCTCTTAAAATTGTACAGATTTGTTCAAGAAAAAAAATTGTACAGATAACTAGCCTGCTTTGTTTACGTAGTCTATTTTTCATTCAGTGGTTTTCTGGGGCCATGGTGCCCCTCCCCTTTCTGCAGTACTCTCTTTGTTGTACATTCCTCAAAACAAGTAGGATCCTGTGCAGAATTTGCATGCAGTTTGACAACAACCAGCTGAATAGCTATTACAAATGTGCAGCTGAATGAAATACTGTTTAGAACATAACTCTATAGTGTATACGAATGAAATATAGTTTGTAATTTTTATTGAGTTAATATCAATATTTGATCACTCCTCTTTTCCTTTCAATTAGGGTGCGAGTTTTCTATGAGTTCTTCAGAAGTCCTGCCCTCTAAATTTCTAGCTCATAGAGTGAGGAGGGTGATTTTAATCTTATCAGTCGTTTATATTAATGTATATGACTTTATATTGCTATTTTTATGTAAACAGGTTGAATTCCGAACTTCATTTTCAGCGACATGTATACAAGCAAGCAGTGTTCTGCCTGGACTCTCTAATATGTAAGAAATTGTTAAATATGTTGAATGTTTACTCCGTTGTGAAGTTTCCATGCTTTGTAATGTATCTTGCGTAGCATTTTACCACAAATTCTCTTTGTGTTCTAGAGGTTGGGCAATAGTTCATGACATTCTTCCATTTTGTCCTAAACCCTTTCATGCCCCTACACTGTTGTGCTGATTAAGCCACTAACGTTTCCCAATAAATATCTTCAAATCACTTCAAGGAACTACCATGTATCTTCATTTTATCCTAATAAACAGGTAGCTCATGTTTATTATTATTTTATTAATGCAGATACTCCAACAAGAACATCTCTTTTGGAATAATTGACCTTGGGCACTTTCCAAATGCTGCAGCAAAGTTTGGGATATCCATGTGGGGTAAATTCCTTTTAACCTTTTTTCTTATCTACGTATGTTGTTATCTGTGTGGATTGGTGGTTTAGAGTTCTGCATTTCAGTTTTGATTGCACTGACCATATTCTGAGTTCTTTTCCTTCTAAAATGTGTTACATTCCATCTGCCGGATTTCATTGAACAGATCATCTTCCCACTTATATATTATTTGACAAGACGACTGAAGTTGCTCGGTTCCCTGAAATCACAAGTGAATCAAAAGTATTTGTGCCAAAAGTGACTAAGGTTATTTTCCTCACTCATCATGCTTATGGTTTAGATAAGTGTCTTACATTTCCTCTTTTTTATGGATTATGTTGTTTTGATCAACATGCTCGTTAGCAGACTTCAATATTATTGGCGCAATTTAAAAATTATGTGCATATTTGTAAATATATTAATTATTTTGCTCGTAAGCATAGTAAGACTTTGTAGTGTATGTTTGTTACTTTTGGAGAGCTTTTTATTCAAAAAAGATTTGCAGTGTATACTGTTGGTGTGACTGGAGATCTGACTGATGGTTAACAGATGACCATGTGCCTGAAATGGAAAAGATAAGCTTATCTGGTGAGCTTTATTAAACATTAGATCAATGAGTGAAAGTGAAGTAATGAAACATGGCCCTCGAAGGAGACAATACCAAATACAGCCTGACACTCTAATTCACTTTCACTGCAGCCTGACAACATCTGGGATTGAGATAAACTTATTGAGTGATTGATGAGAGAACATATTGAGTGAATGAGGCATCAATGATAGAACCTCTGAAACTTCAGTTAACAATCTTGTCTTCCTTAGTGGCTCAGCATAAAACTCGGCTACATCAAGTTCCGCTGACGTGTTCGTACTATGTGTTATTGCTTTTGTCAGAGATGGTTAATAGCATGCTTATATATTTCTGCAGAAACTTCTATGCCAGCACTTTGATCTTGACAGACGGCTGATTGAATACCTATCTAGATGTAAGTCAGCCAAATATGACTTTCACTGTCCTTTTCATTTCACCATCTATGGAACATCTGGTAATCAAATACATACTGTCACAGCGCTGTGGAGCACATTCTGATGGTCAAGTTCATTTCTAGAGTTTTTGAGCATCCATTTTCTGACCCATCTCTACTGAACGTTGTTGGATGCAAGGTAACAAATGCACGTTTGCATATGTCGTTCCATGTTGTTTCCGCCAATAGTTCACATTACTCTGTTGGAATTATCTTGCAGTGAAGATCATCAACCGCACAACACACTATATCTTAATTAGGTCGTTAACCTTTCAGGAACATCGGCTGCTAGCACGTGAGGCTGTTCGAAAGTCTTTGGTTCTTCTGAAAAATGGCAAGACTCAGACAGGGCTATTCCCTCCATTGGCGAAGAATGTAAAAAGAATACTAGTTGCATGAACACATGCTGATAATATTAGATATCAGTGCGGTGGATGGACGATAAAATGGAGTGGCGGCAATGGAAAAATAACTCTTGGTACGAGCATATTGGAGGCCATAAAAGAATATTTGGGAGTGGAAACAGAAGTTGGTGTATGAGGAATACCCAACAGAAGCTACAATTGAAAGCGGGGACTTTTCCTATGCAGTTGTTGTGGTTGGAGAGGTTCCATACGTTGAAGGGTTATTAGGAGACATGACTGATCTCAGCATTCCATTTGATGGCTCCACCCTTATCACCCGTGTTGCAAGCAAAATCCCAACCTTAGTGATTGTTATATCTGGAAGGCCCTTGCTTATCGAGCCACAAGTTCTGGAGAAGATAGATGATGCCGGGCTACCTGGAACTGAGGGCACGGGAATCGCCGATTGCCATTTTGGAGATCATGATTTTGTGGGCACATTGCCTGTGACATGGCTTAGGTCTATGGATCAGTTGCCTATAGATGCTAGAGACGCTGACTACGATCCGTTGTTCCCTGTTGGATATGGTTTTCAAAGTGATATACGTCGCCAAACTATTACAATTGATTATTGGAAACATAAGTAAATATATTTTGGCAGTGTGAATTGTGATGTGTTTTCTCAAATTTTTTGAGTTTGTTTAAAGCCCATTTTCAAGTTTTATTACCATCGATATCTGTAAAAATGAATTATTTGAAATAAAATGATATATGGTTTACGATGAATATTTAATAGCATTATTTTTATCATGTGAATTTTAAGATTGAAAAACTTAACACCAATTCAAGTGACATTTACATTTCTGAACAGATGTAGTATCAACATTAGTATAGTCACTTGATTTCCTTCATTAATACGATCCTATTATTTACCCTAACCAGTTGGTGTAGTATATGTAGCATAGTTCATCAATTTTTTTTAGAACATCAAAAAAAAAATTCTGGAAGGAAATTAAGAGTCCAGCACGTCAATTCAGAAGCAACCTGTCGCTCCACGACCGCAGTCTGTTCGCTTGCTCGTAAACGATCGTAAATTTTCAGCCGGGAACAGTGTTTTTCTCTCACATCAAACCAGCCAGCAGTAAATAATCCACGATACGATACGGCCTCCCGAACAGGCTGACGTACTCCCTCCGTCTCAAAAAAAAAATGTAATCTTGCAATTCAAATCTTGTCTAAAAAGAATGAAATTATAGACATGAAACTAACTTTTCTAATAGAACCCACCTATTAAAATACCATTACTTTATCTATCCATGAGAATAACATTTTAGAATGTATTGATTATTTTATAATTTCTACTTATTAAGAGAACGTTGAAGGAGGAATAAATATGTAATTTCACACTTACACTAAGAAAAAGGAGATTTACATTCTTTGGACGGAGGCAGTAGATCCGAAAATCTCCCCGCCGCCTGCCCACCGAAGTCGCGTTGCAGCAAATCTCTCCTGCTTGCTTGCGAGCGGAGGCGGCAAATCTCACCTTCCTTACCAAGCGCCTCCGTGTTTGCACGGGATAGCAGCCCTCCGTGTGGGATCCCCAGCCAGATTCATCGGAGAACATGGCGGAAGCTCCGGCACACGACTACCCCACCATCGAGCCCACCTCCTTCGACGTGGTCATCTGCGGCACGGGCCTCCCGGAATCCGTGCTCGCCGCTGCCTGCGCCGCCGCCGGGAAGACCGTCCTCCACGTCGACCCCAACCCATTCTACGGCTCCCTCTACTCCTCCGTCCCGCTACCCTCCTTCCTCTCCCCTGACCCCTCCTCCGTTCCCCTTTCCCCCTCCGGCGACGATTCGCATACCGTTGTCGATCTCCACCGCCGCAACATCTACTCGGAGGTCGAGACCTCGGGGGTGGCACCGGAGCCGTCGAGGCGATTCACCGTCGATCTGGTCGGCCCCAGGGTGCTGTACTGCGCTGACGAGGCCGTGGACCTTCTCCTGAGGTCGGGGGGAAGCCACCATGTGGAGTTCAAGAGCGTGGAGGGGCGCAGTCTCCTCTACTGGGAGGGCCAGCTCTACCCGGTGCCGGACTCGCGGCAGGCCATCTTCCTTGACGCCGCCACCCTCAAGCTTACAGAGAAGACCGTCCTGTTTAGGTTCTTCGAGCTTGTGCGGGCACACATTGCTGCTGCCGATGAGGACGTTGAGGGTGAAGAAGCTTCTGATAAGATATCCGAGGAAGATCTGGACCTCCCCTTCGTTGAGTATCTCAAGAAACAGCAGCTTCCACCCAAGATGAGAGCGTAAGGGCGTCCGTAACTGAGATTACTCTAGTTATTATAGTAATATGACTACTAAGATTGACATCTGTGCCTTGTTTACAGGGTTGTGCTCTATGCAATTGCAATGGCAGATTATGATCAAGACACTGACTGTTGCGAGAAATTGCTGACTACGAGAGAGGGAATCCAGACCATTGCTCTATACTCCTCGTCCATTGGGAGGTCACTTTGCTTGCCTGAACCTTTCCTTCTCCACTTTGGAAAGCATTATATTCTATTATTATGTCAATGCCTTATTGAGCAACCAATCAACTTTCATTTATTTGCAGAGATGTATGTAGTCAAGCATGTAAGTTTAAAGTACCTTGCTATGCTGCTGAAATGTTACATCTGCTTGTTCTGTTGTACCAGGTTTGCTAATGCACAACGTGCTTTCATTTATCCGATGTATGGGCATGGTGAACTGACTCAAGCTTTCTGTCGTTGCGCTGCTGTTAAGGGTGCACTATATGTAAGATGATCTTCACAAACATTTGCGCAATGATTTTTGTCTTCTAGCTCTTGCTATTGTTTTCGTCGACAGTCATGTGATTGTAGCATCTTTAATCCCAATAGTCTTACTTGCAATCTGATTGGGACGAAAACGTGTGGTAATGGCGATGTAATATTCCATGTGTTCGGCAAGTCTCTGCCTGAATGGCTGCTGCACCTTCTTTATGTCTCTGTTTGTGGTTGCGTGGTTGCTGTGCTGTGGAATCTAGTAAGAGGGATATTTGTCATTCCTAGTGTGATTTCTGTTGTAATTGATCCTTGAAAGATGCTCTCATATAAAACTAACAACCAAAATGAGAAATAAAATAAATAATCACTTTTGAAAAGACATCGCAATACCAAACGGAACCTATGTCCTCTTTCTTTTAAGTAACTTGTGTCATTTCTCATACGTAGCCTTACCAATATCTGTTCAGGTGTTGCGGATGCCAATATCTGCACTTCTTATGGATGAGGTATGATACAAACTTGTGCTATTTTTCTCATACTTCATTATTTATTTCACACGTCAGAGGATGCATACTTTATTTGTGAAAGTTGTGTAACCATTTTGTTTTGTTACTCCACTTCTTCATCGATAAATTGAAATTGTTTATTTCCCTGGATCAGGAAAGGAAGAATTGTTTAGGTGCCAGATTAACATCCGGTCAGGATATTTTGTGCCAGCAGTTGATACTTGACCCGTCATACAAAGTCCCTATTCTGGATGCCCCATCTGATGGTTCAGACTCAAACTTGCTGAGAAAAGTTGCGAGGGGTATATGCATAATTAGCAAATCTGTGAAACAGGATTCATCAAATCTTCTAATTGTTTTCCCACCGAAATGTAAGAACTGATACTCATTACCTGTTTGTGCCATATTTCTTTGATGTAGCAATGTATATTTGTTTTGAGTACATGACTCCCTCTCTTCATTTAGCATTAGAAGAGCAGCAGATTGCAGCTATACGGGGTCTTCAGTTGAGCAGCAATCTAGCAGTATGCCCTCCTGGGATGTAAGTATTTATTCTATCATCATATCATTCAACAATGTCAGTTTTAGCATGCACATGCTGTGTCTACCCCCAGGACTAATAGCTTACCTTACAAGTCAATCTCGCTTTTAGGTTTATGGTGTATCTGTCTACCCCGTGTGCTGATACCTCTACTGGAAAACAATGCATAAAAAAGGCAATAGATGCTCTATTCGCTCCACAGGCTTCAGATTCTTTGGAAGGCCACTTGAAGGAAACTAGTGAAAATAATGAGGACTTGAAGCCGACAGTAATTTGGAGCTGTGTGTATGTTCAAGAGATCACGGAGGTGAATTTCTTTTATCACCATTATAGGCTGGATTCATGTAGTCTGAGTACTGAAGAACACCTATCTTGTCCTGGTGTTTATGCATTTTTTCCCTTAAAAGTTCACTGTCCTGTCTTACAAATCAGGGAACATCTAGTTCTTTATTGTCGTGCCCTACACCTGATGAACATCTGGACTACCGGAGTATACTGGATTCATCAAAAAAAGGTATTGCATTGCATGTTGCATTTTCTTTTGAATGTACCCGCATCAAAAGTACTACCTCCGGACATTTTTTCTTGTCGTTAGAACAAGATGCTCAATACTAACTTGAGCTAAGCAGCTTGTCCTAAGTTCCTAACGACAAGAAAAAAAATACGGTGGAGTAGGACAAAAATCACCATGGATCTTTCAGAATTGTTCTTATTAGTATCAGATGGCTTATTTTATCTGCTTTCACGTTGAAGGAGCAACTTTTATATACATTTTGTTTTGGTGCAAGTTCCATCCATGATTGTAACAACCAACTTTTTCTTTGCAGTATAAGTCACTTGTACACTATGTTGTAAATAGCTTTAGTATATATTTAATGTTTCTTTTAGTCACTACCTACGGCTATGGTAGCATGATATATTGAGATGTCACATAACATCGAATATGATTTGTCCTTGATCTGACTAATTCGTTTTATGGTTCCTTTGTTGTAGTTATTCACAGATATTTGTCCTAATGAAGAATTCTTGCCTAAAAAGTCAGCTGCTGTATATGCTGATGATGACTCTGATTCTGCTGAGTAAGATCATTCATTAGGTATGGAAATCTTTACATATGGAAGCTGCACTACTTTGCTCATGTTTTAACTCATTGCAAATGAAAAACTATCAAAATCATTGCAAATGAACCTGTACTCTTTTGATTGTTGAGGGGAAAATAGAGATAGGAGCTATCTGGCTACATATAAAACTCCAAATTCTAGAGATATTTACTGTTTACCGTCTTTCATAATTTCTTGATAACAAGTCCATAACCAGTACAAAATAAGAAAGCCAGTGTGCTTAACTGTTTACAACAAGAGCTTGACAAAATAAAGCGCACACACCATTTGTAGGAATCATATCTATGTGGACTAACCATTTGTTGCTTTCGCTTTTGCTGGACAGCAACTTCTACGTACCGAATGTGAACGAAGGCATCATCATCTGTTTACGGTGTGCCTTTTAGCGTCCTCTGAACCGTCGTGCTGGATTTAAAACGTTGAAGTGGCTGCTGGCATCAGTAGGAAAAACTTTTACAGGCAGGAATGCGGTTGTTCCCGGCGTTTAACATTTGGTAAATGCATCCCTACACATGCGCGGTGCAAATGGGCTACTACTAGTGCCTCAGCACTTGCTGTGTATGGAGTTACAGGCAATGATGTTTTACGGCAAACATCCTAAATCATTGTACAGTCGAGAACGAAAATGTACACTCAACATTCATGTGTTTTTCCTGATGGAGTTAAAATGCTGAAATTATTCATCTTGGGTGTTTCCAGTCTTCGGCTCGGGTGTTTTTTCTTGGCCTGTAGTATTTTCTCCTAGCACGGTTCATCTAATTATCTAAATGCTTGATGCTCGACTGCCCGAGTACAGGCTTGTTGAGATCTGGAAACAGCCAGCCACCTTTTAAATTTGTTGAGAATAGAATTGAATGTCAAATAAGAATCTGGGTTCTATGCGTAAATCATGAATTCGCTTGGTGTATGGGACATGTCACATCCTAGACCTGAAAGGTCCGGTGCTGGCTTGCAGTGTCCGGACGCAACCGCCTGCTTCTCCTTCCAAATGCCTCGCCTCGCCTCAGCTTCCTGCTAGTGTAGCCGCATCCGTCCCGGCTGCCGATGGAGATGTCGCGCTGAGTCCGCGCCGCTCTGCGCGTCGTGGTCGTACGTGCACGATGCTGGCGGCGCTGTCCAGGGGCTGCTCTTCTAGGCTTGCGTCGCCATTGTCTCCACCCACCTACTCTGCTTCTGTGGCGGCGGCGGCGGCGGGCTCAATTGTTCATAGCCCCGTGATGCACTCAGTTGGAGATAGGGGTAAAAGTGGTAGGGATAAATCCTGGTCCATCCCATACCAATTTCTACATTTAACTCAGCTCGATTTCGTATTGACAATCATTCCGACTGCTTTCAATTTTGCTGTTTTTGGTAATTCTGAAAACATGCATGACGAATTTTTTTTACTATTTTCATTTTTCCATATTTATTGGGATATCCCGTTTTTATCCGCATAGGATATCCCGTTTTAGCCCTGTCCATGGTAGACTGGTGGTTGACTTATGAACCTTACAATATGAATTAGCCCTATTCATTGATGTTGGATAATCATCAACTCTGCTTGTTATCATATACATACTATTCTGCTTCGTTAAAAAAGAGGTAGCACAGTACTTATTTTGCTTTTTATGAGATATTATTAATTTTTGAATGCATCTATGAATTGTGATTTTTTACCTCAAGTAATTGCTCATTTGTGTCATTGTAACTAATCTCTAGTAGATTTGTGAACACAGGATTTGGAAATGCATACTGTCCAGCCTGCATCTATTTTAACATATATACTCATTGACATATGTCTACTTGCACTGGGTAAATTATTATTTAAAGTAACTAGTACCTGGGTAGTCTGGTACATGAACTGTATGGCTTCTTGCCATTTCTTGATCCTTGCCATTTCTTTCCTTCTGGTGTTGTCAGGTCAAAATTTGGTATTGAGTGCCCATCTATATTGTAAATTGTTACTTGAAAATATAGTAGATGCATAAGATATATCTGTGTTTTGCCGGCAAAAGTGCTTGTAGAGATTGGGTTCTGATTGTTCTGTTGTTTTCTTGGAGGTTTTCCGGCACTAATTTACTACTTGTTTTAACAAATTCTTCCTCCACCAGTTATTTAGTAGGGAAATCTAAGCAGCATTGTACTCTTTGTTATTTAGTAGGGAAATCTAAGCAGCATTGTACTCTTTGTTATTTAGTAGGGAAATCTAAGCAGCATTGTGCTCTTTGTATGTTGATTTGCAAACTAATGAGTTCTATTTGTCTGTTGATGAGGACATATTGCAGGGATCTAACACATGTAATCCTTGGATCTGGGGTGTACTAACCTTGGATGATGTTGATGTGAGTCCTGTCTCTTTGGATCTGGTGATTTTCCCCCTTTTCCCCTGCTCTGCGTGAGCAGAGCATAGGTCTTCCTCATGAACAGATCCGTCGATCTGTTGTGCGTGGGGTTTGCTTCTTTCCCAAGTAGATGCTTTTGTTGCTGGGCTGATGGGCCTGTGACTTGATAACAAGGGCCTTTTCGTTTTCTGGTTTCTGGGCTGACTTGCACAATTACAACTACAATAAAATTCGTGTGCTACTTCCTCCTAAAACACACGGTTTTTCTCTCTGGATGGATTTCGTGTGCTAGTTTAGAAAAAAATAAATGGTTTTTCCTTTCTCTGCTGGCACTCTTCTGTTGCATAGGCTGCCCAAAATCGTGTGTTACTTTCCAATAAAACACACGATTTTTTGGTTCCTGGAATTCATGTGTTTTCTTTGCACAAAACACCCGTGTGCTAGTTGCCTTTAAAACACTCGAGTTTAAACTAGACATGTCCCTTGTTTTAGGTTTCGCCTAAGTAAGTAAAACCAAACTAATTCTAACCAAAGCTATTTTACACGAGGAGTCAAATTTTATTACTGTATACGAAAAAATGTGACATACTGTAAGGATTTAAGGAACGTACAAATTTGGCTAACCGTTGAATACGATGTTCGGTGAAAACGCGTAGGAGTGGAACGTAGAGCCACCATCTCATAGTGGAAAAAAAAGTTTACCTGACAAAGAAAATGTCAAATTTTATAAAGTTCGATCAACAATTAGCCAAATTACATACAAGTTTGACATAAGCTTTAATTTGCATCAATACACTTATTTTCAAAGTGTCTCTGATATAAGTTTCATCTTTTGGTAAATGACAGCATATTGTAAGAGAAATTAATGGTCGAAATTTGTTCTGGGCAAAGAGAGTATAGAAAAATATTGTATTTATGATATCATTAAATAGGTATAATATAAAAAAATGTTTTATAAAAAAAATAACAATACTTATTTAATGTCATAAGGATTAGTACTTTTGTATGAACTTAGCTAAATACTTCATCCGTTCTCAATTATAGGATATTTTGACTTTCCTACAATATAGTGTATATTTATATACTCTCTCCGTCCCGTTTTATTTATCATAGTTGGTGTGCGTGCCATAAGTTTGACTCAATTTATTAAAAATAAGTGCAACATTTGTATCTCTAAATAAATTTATTAAAAACTAGATTCAAAGATCTTTCTAACGATACTAATTATGTACTATAAATATTAATATTGTTTTAATATATATTTAATCAAAGTTGTTTCTTGGGAAGCGCAAACGATAGATATTTAAGGACAGATGGAGTACATAGCAAACATCTTATAATTTGGAATAACGGGATTGTTAAACTCTAGTTAGTTTAAGATAGATAGTACGGAGTAGGATCTATTCTAGCATAAGGTATAACTATGGGGGGATGTTTGGTTCCACATTCTAAACTTTAGTCGCTGTCTTATCGAATGTTTGGACATATGCATGGAGTATTAAATATAGACTATTTACGAAACTAAATGCACAGATTGAGACTATTTTGCAAGACGAATTTTTTAAACCTAATTAGTACTCATTGGCCCTTTCTCTTCGTCTCAGATCGATGGATCTTCTCGATTGGAAGATCTCCCATATAGATAATACACATTCCAGTTGACCGAGCCTATATGATTTGACAACGTGTTGCAACAGTAAATATGTGCTAATGACGGATTTTTTAAGCCTAATTAGTCCATGATTTGATAATTAGACTTAATAAATTTATCTCATGGATTACTGACGGATTTTGTAATTTATTTTTTTATTAGTATCAATGTTTTAAATCTCCAGCTATAGCCGGCTATAGCTGTTTGAGGCTGATCAAGCTATTTGTATTTATGTACAAATTAGCGGCTATAGCCCGCTATAGCTCTATTTAGCCTTCGCTATAGCTGTTTTATAGGTCGTCCGCTAAAACCCTTAGTCAGAGATTTAAAACCTTGATCAGTATCTAAACACCCTGTATGTCACACCTCTAACCCCTGGTACAGCCGCGCACGCCCAAGAGCCGAGAAACGAGGAAGTCCAACTCCAGCAGATTCACATTCATGTATACTGGCCTGAAACCCGTCGCGAGGCCGAACAGGCCAACACGATTTGATTTTTCCGCAGGGCCCTGTCATCACCGTCGGAAAACGGAGGCAGAGGACGGTGAACCCGGACACGGCTCGCCCAGCCTCGGGCAGCACTGCAACGGCAGCAGCCAGACGCGACCGAGTACGACGGGCCGACCGGAGGCGGCGCGAGCGTCACGGCGCCGCCGTCTCCGTCTCCCGGAAGAAGAGAAAGGCGAGCGAAAGAGATCCCTCGCGTCCCGTCGCGGTCAGTTCCAGCCTGGGCCGCGTGGCGTCCACGACGGCCGGCGCTGGCATGCATTTTTGATTGCGGGTTGCGGCTATCTATAGCTGCTAGCCGCTCGACCACTACGAGACGCTAAGATAAAATAGAATAAAGCACCGAGCGCGGCCGCCGACCTGTGCCACTGCCGTGCGCCATGATGCCTGCGCATCGCGGCAAGTGGACGCGGCGGCGGATCCGCCGGATCGGAACCGGAAGATATCCTCTCCACCTCCACCACCACCACCACCGGCCGCGAGGAGACAAAGGCGAGCGCATGCAGATTTTCTGCGACCGCGGAGACGTCATGGCCGCGGGCGTCGGGCGAACTCTCTCACTCGCAATCGCAACCGCCGGTCGGCAAGCGGGGGGTCGCCGTCGTCGATCGACGCACGCGGCACCTACAAGGCTACAACACCTATTATATTACAGCTAGCAAGTATACTTAGGATTCCTGTTCTTGGCCTGGACATTCATCAGACTTCCCATCAAGATTATTGATCTGGGCCTTGTTTAGATGTCACCCAAATTCTAAGTTTTTTCACTCTCTCTCCATCACATCAATTTTTAGCCGCTTGCATGGAGTATTAAATGTAGGTAAAAAAAATAACTAATTACACAGTTTAGTTGAAAATCATGAGATGAATCTTTTAAGCCTAGTTGGTCCACGATTGGACAATATTTGCTAAATAAGACGAAAGTTGTACTATTCATCGGGTTAAAATTTTTTGCAAAGAGAACAAGGCCCTGGTGCACCTTTTTCCAGCTCGAGTAGTACAGCTTTTTCTCCTTTAGATAGATTAGATTACACACAAGCTGAGACGAAGATAAGCCTCGGAAACAGAGGAGAAGAACGGGGTTAGATGGCCGTGTACTGTCTGTCCAGGTGCACGTACCAATCACCAAGCAGCTGGTGAGCTAACCCATCCATCCAACCATAATGGTACAACGCAAACACATGAATGGTTGGTTTAGCTGTCATGACAAACCACCAGTCCACCACCACCAATGGAATGGAATATTGTACTAGTAGTTCGGGCTGGACGTTGAGTAGGATTGAAAAATAAATAAAAATACTGTTTCGATTGACTGTCGTGAGAAAAAACCCCGGCCAGCCAGCCTGCCAACCATATATAATTTAAATAATGTAAATAATATTATACAAGGTATAAAAATGTATATTAGAGAGAGAGATTTGTGATTGCAGCAGCACAACACACCAACTGGCCAACCACCGCCGCTACAATAACATTATCATCGCACTGTTCTTTTCATCCCACCTTCTTTCTCTGCCTCCCATGACCTCTCCCCCTTTTTTTCTTTATTTTTTTTTCCAACGCTTTTCTTCCACCTCAGGGGGTCATGGATGGAATAATTCTCAACACCCTCCATGGATTCGATCGATCACCTTCTAATCTTTTTTTCTTGTAATAATAACAATAGAAAAAGAAAAACAAAGGAAGAAAAAAAGAGAGAGAGGAAGGGATTCTAGAGGGGAGATGGACCGATCCACCGAATCACCGCCGATCACCGTACGGCGCCCGTCCGTCCGGCTCCGATGGAGACGCCGCCGCTGGCTGTCGCTCCGAGACGGGAGCAGATCAGAACCTGACGATCTTGGCGGCGCGCACGACGGGGTTCTCCCTTGCGATGGCGTCCCGGCCGACGGCCTTGTAGTCGAAGCAGCAGTCGTGGCGGTCCGAGTAGCGGTGCGCGCCGCAGAAGAGCTCCCCGCAGCGGCAGCGGAACCCCGTGAGCCCGACCCGCTTCCGGCAGCTCTGGCACCGGTTGACGGCCGACGACGGAGACGTCCGGGCCGGGCTGGACGGAGGCGGCGTCAGCTCCGCGGGCCGGTGCGCGAACACCGGCACAGACGGCCTCGCCTGCTGCTGCTGCTGCTCATCGAGCTGGAACACCGGCGAGGACGAGGAGGAGGGCGACGGCGGCGAGACGGAGGCGGAGGTGGAGGAAGCGGTGGCGACCTGGAAGCAGGCCTGGCAGAGGTTGTTGGTGGCCGGGTTGCCCGGGAAGCCGCAGCTGTTGGCGCACAGCGTGAGCTCCGGCGCGCGAAGCTCCGTCGGCTGCTCCACCTTCTTGTCGCGCTGCGCCATGTGTTGAATAGCTAGAGAGAGAAGGAGCTGTCACGCGGCGGCTCGGCGTGGAACGAAGCGAAGCGAAGCCCGGGCCGGCAGCGTGGAACGAAGACGAGGAGAGGCAGCTAGCTACCGCCGACCCGGCTGGCCTGGGAAATGGGGTGGGGAGGAGGGGGAAGGGGAGGCCTTTCCTTTTTATCGCGGGGAGGGCAAGAGGGAGGAGACGGGCGGCGTACGCGTTCCCCGGGCCGACGCGCTGGCGGCTGGCCCCTGTGTGTGGGTGGCCCTCTGCCTGCCGCGGACGGCCACGGTCGCACGGTGCACGGGTGGACTTTTGGGCCGGGTGAATGATGCAATGCAAGCGGCGGTCATCGTTGCAGTAAACGGCGGCCGTACACGCCTTTGCTTCGAGCCGCCTTGTTTGTAGTACTCGGGGCAGGGCAGGGCAGGGCAGAACGGTCATACGCCACGTCCGCATTGCCTGATTGGTGTCCCGTGCCCCTCCCCTCGAGGCTCGAGCCGAGCAAGCAAGCGGGCCGCCCAAAGCTGACCTGACCGGCCGGCCGGCCGGCCCCCAGTGCACCCGAAACAAAAGAGAGAAACCATCGGCCCCCAGCGCCGAACGAAAACCAGCGGCGCCCGCCGCTCGCTGCAGCAGCAGCCCAGCTGCTTCCTAACCCCCACATAGGAGTACGCTACGTTCTACGAATCTACGTACAACTCCTAGGCCCTGCTTGATGCATATGTATTTACTCTAATCCATTCCAAAACATATGGATTAAGATGAATACATACGCATTCACTTGCGTTACGAACGAAAGCACTCTTCCTCTCTCTCTAAGTGTCAGGATTCACCACCAACGTAAAAAAAAAACGAATGTAGCTTAAGCTCTCCTAGTTAGGTTTTGTTGGCACAACCTATTTGAGAAAGAACAAAAAAAAAAAAAATCAGCGTGGAAACATTCATGCTCGCGGTACGTACGTGGTGTTGACCCTCGATATTTTTTCTGGCACGCGTACCCGTCAAACCTCAGGCTGGGAAAGTAGAACCGTCCCGGAGCCAAATATGTCATGCCTGGTTTGCTGCCGTGTAGTACAGTGCATGTACATGACTTGTCACCATGATGCAATTGGATTATCTTTAAGACGTCCACAACCACAAGGCAACCCAGCATAATCTATGCTCCCGTGATGACAGAACGGTGACGCGCGGCTGCGTTGGAGAACCACTAGCCGCGGGCGGTGTTTCCTCACCCCGAACGGTGACGCTAACGCTAACGCACGACGCAACGCGCTTCACGTGCTTAGTGCAGGAACTTTCCACGGTTCAGCACTAAGCCGCGAGCAGAGGGGGCGTCACACCTTGTGGACGGCGTCTCTCCTAACGCAAGCCTGTTCGCTTGATCGTAAACGATCGTAAATTTTTAGTCGGAAATAGTGTTTTTCTCTCACATCAAATCAGCCAGCAGTAAATAATTCATGATACGATACGGCCTCCCGAACAGGCTGTTAACCGGCCCCGTTCGCTGGTCTGAATCATGGTTGAAACTGGCTGAAAACACTATTTTTGTTGAATTGTTGTGAGAAAAAATACTGTTACGGCTGAAAAAACAAACCGAACAAATCGAATATGGGGTAAGCCGAACGGGCCACTGCAACTGCATGGACGGGATTAGGCATAGCTAGGCTACGTAGCAAGGGAAACGCCCATGCATCGTGCAACACATCAAGTATATCCTGTGTAGATACTTAAACCAAAAGTGACTCGAATACTTGAGAGTACAGAAATGCATAATGGTTGCTCTTACGCAACCATACCCGCACCATCCGAGAACCAAAGCTGTTCACCACACAAAGCTCTTTGTGATTCCAAAGAAATAAGAAAGAAGAAAAGGCCATCGATATTTTTTTGTCGCCTTTTCATAAGTTATATAAGCCCCCAGCAAAATACTTTTCCAAAGCATGGACCACTACTCGGTATAAACAAACAACGGCTAGCTACATACATGTCCTACAACGACGAGCAGTGCCGATCACATGATGACATGAGTAGCTGCATCATTGAATGAAAGCATACAATGTGCAAGCAAGACTCAAACAGGTAGGCCCAGCCATAAATCTATATAAGAATCATGGCAACACATCACGAGATTGAACTGCATTCATCAGACAGTAAACTGGATTTTGTAACTTAAAACATGAAATGTTGGAAATGCAATAGTCAGGTAGAACAGTCAATCTAATTATAGACCACACAGAAAAAGTATCGTTGAACCGTTTGACAAAAAATGAATATGTCCAACTAAAAAAATCAAATATCATCAGTACAATAAATAAAACAGTTCATGGAGAGAGAAAAACAAAAGAGAACAACACATTTTTTGTGTTTCCTTTTTTTGATTGGGAAAGAAATTGATTCAGATAAGGGTACAAATAGATAGGTTACTTCTATACAATTGAGGCATACATCGATGATGCCCAGATTGTCACCAAATACCTCGTCCAAAATCTGCCCATCTTGTTCCACTTGATAAGCATCTTCCACCCAACACAACCAAAAAGTTGTGATTATTTCGAATGTGAATCCTCTTTCAGATTGCTGGAGTCCATAGAAAATTGCTCAGTCTGTCAGTCTAGTCGCATATGGCGAGGACCAAATCCAGTTACCAGAATGATGGTCATATTCTGATGCCAAACTCCCCCACATTTTCTTATTTTTAGCTTTTTGTATTTTCATGCTTTTTTTTGGACAGTGCAGCAGGAAGGAACAAGAACAATCTTCTCAGCTTGCTGTCCATATTCAGCCATTAGGGGCGATGAGTAAAAGATACCATTCGGTTCTCATTATATCAGCTCAACTATAATTATAATATGCTCCCCTATGTTGCACGGGAGAAGCCGGTCTCCCGGATGCGTCTCGGCGACCCGCACGTTCCGCCCGAGCCCCGGGCCGCGGTCGCTGTCCACCCGCCCCGTGCGCGCCGCTAGGTGTGGCTTGGCGGATCAGCAGCAGCAGCAGCAGCCCAGCTGCTTCGTAACCCCCCACATGTCCCTTGTGCGTGCTAGCGCCAGCACGCCACTAACTATTACCACCGCTGTTGACAGTTGACGCCATAGTGGTTTTTTTAATTAAGCTTTGGGTTGGGCAGTCCGCAGTCGGCACGGGCAGGTTTACGTTTACCATGGGTGGTTAGTAGGAGTACGCTACTCCTAGGTTGGGCTCGCGTGTGGTGTGGGTGTGGCCCGTCCCGCGCCCTCCCCTCTGGCCCAAGGAAATAAGAATTGTAGACGGGCCGGTCACAGTTAACTCCACTCTGGCCCAAGGACGCGTGGGTTGGGCTTCCGACTCCTCTTCCTTCCCTGAACACTCCCAGCATCTTCAGGTTCGTGATCAGAATCGACGGGACCCCCTCAAATGGACGCCACCTTTTTTTTCTTCTGGTACTTGTAGCAGCAGCGAGATTTTTAGGCGTCTCTCTATCAGCAGAGCGCATCCTTAAATCGCACCTACAGTAAAGGTTAGGCTGTCTCACGCAACGCAAGAAGGTTCAGGGGTCCCACGCCAGCGAGACCAAATCCAAGGTGATATTGTTTTCAATATCCCAGCCACGCCGGAGCCGCGACACATGCGTCTACTGCTATCACCATGTTAGCCGCCACAAGGGGGAAGAAAGAATCGTCTCGTCTTTTTTTTTGTTTGCTTCATTCACTTCCCTCGGTGCAAAATAATTGGAGTGAGAGGGTGCAGAGAGATCAGCTGCTAATCCTTTGGCCAGAAAAATAAAGATCAGCTGCTAATCATGGTCCCTTTTTTATTAGCAGCGAATAGCCCTAATTTAGGTTCTGATTTTGTTGCCCTGGTGCTGTGCACGACAGCGACTGCTTGCTACTTACCATGCGTTTTTTAAGAAAATGAACCAACAGACGGAATTGTCCCGGCATGTATCACACGTTCACACAGCTGCTTATTTGCAAAATGATGTTGCAAAAGCACCTTCGCGAGTGAGGCTGTAGCTAGCCGCAGCGACTGTTTAACAGCCAGCCGAGAACAGCCTCACTCACCAAGTGGTGTTGACCCTCGATATTTTTTCCTGGCACGCGTACCCGTCAAACCTAGAACCGTCCTGGAGCCAAAAATGTCAGGCCTGGTTTGATGCCGTGTCCATGACTTATCACCCATGATGCAACTGGATTAGCTTTAAGACGTCCACAAGGCACCCCCAGCATAACCTATGTTCCCGTGATGACAGAACGGTGACGCTCGGCTGCGTTGGAGAACCACTATCCGCGGGCTGTTTTTCCTTAACCCCGAACGGTGACGCTAATGCACGACGCAACACGCTTCACGTGCTTAGTGCAGGAACTTTCCACGGTTCAGCAGCACTAAGCCGAGAGCTGAGGGGGGCCGGGGGCGTCACACCGTGTGGACGGCGTCTCTCCTACGGTTTTAATTAGGCACGATATGATAACTGCAGCTCCATGGCGCGGGGGCTTAGGCGTAGCTGGACTACATAGCAAGTATATAAATATATCCTGTGTCCATATACTTAAACCTAAAGTGACTCGAATACTTGAGAGTACAGAAATGCATTATGCATAACGGTTGCTCTTACGCAACCATACCCGCACCATCCGAGAGCCAAAGCTGTTCACCACACAACGCTCTGTGTGATTCCAAAGAAACAAGAACGAAGAAAAGGCCATCAATATAATTTTCAGCCTTTTTAAGTTATAATAAAACCTCCAACAAATTACTTTTCCCCAAGTATGGGCCACTAGCCAGTAAACAACTAATGGCTCGCCATATACAACTGATGACATGAGTAGCTGCATCTTGAATGAAAGCATATAATATGCAAGAAAGATTCAAGCAGGTATGCCCAGCCATAAATCTATAAGAATCATGGCACGACATCACGAGATTAAACTGCATTCATCAGACACAGGATTTTGTGACTTAAAACATGAAATGTTGGAAATGCAATAGTCATTATAGACCACACAGAAAAAGTATTGTT